AAAAAAAAAAAAAAAAAAAACAAAGTCGCCTTTCACAAAAAAAGTTGTCACAGCTAAAAATAAATAAAATATTGTTTTAAAAAATATCGAAAAAACATTTTTACTTGTTATTTGAATTATGATTATGAACAATGAATAGAGCATACATTTCAAAATCTACATAAAGATATAGAAACTCACTTGTATCCGGTCAGGATGTTTAAAAGAGTAGACTTTCCTGCACCGGAAGGACCCATAATAGCCGTCAGTTCTCCAGATCGTAACCTTCCACTGACGGATTTCAAGATTATCTTTACATCTGAAAATTAAGTAAATTTGATTATTTTTAATTATTATTTAAAAAGTATCGTCTTCTTGAAATTGCTTCATAAATATCCAAAAATGAAAACTATAATCATCAAGATAACAAACCGTCTTTAAAGACACCGTTTTTTTTTAAATTTTGAAACGTTTAGTTTTATCCCATGTGCAAATACATATAATGATAAATTCATGATTTTCAAGAAGCCGAAAAATCAAGCTTCCAGATATAATGTCACGAAAAGTCACAGCACAGTTTTACATTATTATGTATTATTATAATACAGAGAAACAAGTTTTCCTTTTTAAATTGTAATTGACTCGCAAGATATAATCACAAATAAAATATAAATATACATTTCATGTGCGTTTTTCATTAAAATTACCAGAAAAAGGAACTGGCCAGATATTTTTTGCATGATCTATCATTTTCTCTATTCTAATATATTGAAAAACTTGTTACATCATTCGTTAGAAGCTAATTAGCTACATTATTCTAATGACAAGAATCATATCCAACTGTTAATTAAATTTTCCTTGTGACTAAAATAGTCTATTGTGTATTTTCAATTACCTATGACTTACCATTATATTCCAATGTATTATATATATTATTATTACAAATATAATACTGATAAATCAGAAGCGATAAATCAGAATTATAATAGTAAATATTATAAAATAGTTGTTACATCACACAGGACATCACGCATACATATTGATGATTGCATGACAATGGATTTTTTTCCAGGCATAACACGCTTACCTATGTATCTAGTAAAAATTACAATTCAGTTTCGAATATTTGTAAAATTGAGCATTATATTTACTAACACTAAAAAAAAAAAGAAAGAAAATAAGTTAAAAGTGAAGAAGAAAATAAAATAAGCGAAAATTGCTAAATAAATGCATAATAAGGACATTAAATAAATTATTAAGCTTTCTATCTGAACATTATACTTTTCTACACTATTACATTCGAACGCGACAAAAAATTAAAATGATAAACGTATTTGAAATTTCGATTTCTTATCAATATATATATGTAATCGTGGCCATAATTTCCTAAATATTAAAGGAAAGTCAATTTCAAAAAAGGCTTACGCAAAATGTAGATTACAAAAATATTGCTATAGATACGTTCACTTTCTATATGCTGATCGCTCGCAGATGTATACTAATGAATAGATATACGAAACTATACAGATCAATTATATCCAAAATCAATCAACTAATTCTAGAATACTATTCCAAAAGATAATCTTGATTTCTAGTCCCAAATATTTCGTTAAGTAAATAACAATTAAAATTTTTAATTACACTTCACTTAATTGTAAAATAAAAGCTATGAAATTAAAAAAAAAAAAAGAGAAACAAATTAGATATATTAATCGAAACGAAATGGAACGGTTAATTCAACTACTTTAGTTGCTGCAATTAGAACAATAAACTGATTTGACTGATTAATTAACGATGAAGGGAAATGATTTGTTTTTATTGCATTATATTGTTATTGACTACTAGATTCTAAAAATTACGATAATACGATTTAAACATCGATAACGAGCGTTTCTTTCGAGTATTAAATATATATATATATATATCTACAGTGGAAATTGTGACTAGAACTTTATGCCGTAACCGGTCTCTTACAAAATCTCGGTTACTAATTTCTCCGCTTTAGTCAACTACGCTCTACAAACGCGTAGAAAGTTATTTTTTCAGAAAAAATAACGGCGTGATGATGATAAAAAGAACGGAATTAATCATCAAAAAAAACGAAATTTTAAGTCAATTTTTTTATTGTCTGGTTAATTGTAATACTATTTGATAAGAATATATCTGTACAACCACAGATACAAAGTTATATGCACATATAAATACAACACCGCGTGAACTGCACTATTTCAGATACATGTTGCTTTCACAGATAATATTTGCTTTCCCTTTGTGATCAATGTCGTCAAGAACCAGTTTTGAACTGTATGAATTTAACAAAAAGAAGAAAAACAAATGACGAAATTATATATATTTTCTTCTTAATCAATAACGTCAAGATCTCATTTTAACTATATACATAGATTACAAGAAACAAAATTATATTATCTTTAATCATTTTGACAATATAAAAGCATCTTAATCCTCGTACAATATGCGAAATTAATACTTATTTTTCATTTGAATATAAAACGCAGATCTTTTTTATTTAACTTAGTTGCAAGAAAAAAGTATTTATTAAAAAAAAAAAAATAAAAATTTGGTGTACTTACTGTTTTTGCCGCCTTCTCGTACCCTATATGACAAATTAGTGAATGCTAGGTCAACCGGTGGTCTTTTCGGTAGATGTGTAATCGTTTTTGGTTGTGTTGGTACAAGTTGCAAACGAACACCTGAACCTTTTTGAGGTTGTAATAAAATTTCATTGGTACTATCTTCGTGTGAACAATTTCCCTCAAGCTTCATTTTTCGTCTTGATTTTTTCTTAATGTCTTATTTTCAATTTAAGATGAAATTGAAATAGCTTTTTCTTTTTTTTTTTTTGTGGTCGATATTTATATGAACCGACTTTCCTGTGGTGTTACGTTTCCGTTACTGAATATGCATACAAATTCTTTCATCGCCTGAAAAATTATTTGTTTTCGAGTTTAAGTCATTTATACAATGAAATATATAAATTCAAATTTTTATCATTTCTTTAGCATAAAATAAATATGACGTGTTTTTTAACAAGCTTTTAAAATAAGCGATATTATTTACTGTCAGTAAAATTGTAACTTTATAATTTCATTTTGAATTTACTATGAATTATAAATATTTATTTCTATATTGAGATAAAGCTTTTCAATTGTAAAAGAATGCAAATAATACGAATGATGTCAATTTAGAATGTCGAAATGCTTAATGCAAGTGAATAAGTAATTAATACGAGTTGATAGCGGTATTAGTAAATTCAAAACTGACTAAAAATTCTAAGGAGAATACAGAGTTGTAGCAACTCAAATTCGAATGGATATTTCAAATAGCGCGCGTTCTTACATCATCGAAGTAGCAATGCATGAAGTCGATCAGAAAGATACAATCATGATTTAGAAGTAACAACTGCGTAGTTGAACGTCGACTCTGTCTCAAGTTAGAAGTAAATGCATCTCAATTCCTGTATTCCACGTTTTCAAAATGCACAACGACGTCGTTCAAGCGATCAAAGATGGAACATACACTTTCAATTGTTACGCTTGCACATACGTATAACAACGGTAAACGTTTTTTTTAGAATTACACGGTCGTAATCGTTAACGATAAACTGACAAAAGATTCGAGGCAACAATCGATCTCATATGTTCACGATGCTCGAACCTCGGTGTCTCGAGCGAGACTGACTAGCTGACTCCACCATTTAACTGCATCGCGGCCATCACCATTGACCGTCGCGTCGTTGCTTCACCGAGTGTTCTTTCTCATTCTCTTTCTTACCGTTCTCTCTTACCATTCCCTTCCATTCTCTATTCACAATTTATCTTTTTAAGGATGCAACAAAGATCGAGGAAGAATGAAGAGTGATGTGATCAAAGTCGAGATCGTACACGTGTATATCTTTTTGATTGTGCTTCTGCAATCGTTTTTTTGGTGTGTATACATATACATCATGCATACACTACACAACACACACATACCACTATGATTATTTAACCTATTTCGAATGACTTTTATATTTTTCTAATTTCTTTTTAGCTTTTCTAATTAGCTTTTTTAAATTAAAATTAACAATTTAAATTAATTTTTTATTGAATGATTGCTTTGATTTTAGTTTTGCCAAAAGGTAATGAAAACATTTTAACGAATTACATAAATAATCGACGTTCGCTTTTTAATTACTTTAATCGTTATAATAGCAATATATAATGATCATTTCAGGCAACAGAAAATATATTCATTAGTGTGTAACTACAAACAAAAATCAATTATATATTATCGAAGAATATCACTTCGATAAATCATGAATCATCCTAAAATGATATATTGAACTTCATTATTTGTAATTATCTCACATTTTTTAAAAGTAATACGTCAAAAAATAATACTTTGATATTTAGAATTGCATATCACGTTTCATCTGACGTCATCATATTACACGTCTCAAACTTAAGAACGAAAAATAATTCGTTGAAGATCTATATGAAAATAACCAGTCATCCACCGTGTTACCTTGAAAAAAATATGATTTACAAAATTATATTACTTACACAGTTATACGTAAGCCAGCTTTCTTTAAAAAAATTAATTAAAAATAATGTTATAAAATATACTGATTTCTATGATCTGTGATGACGAAACAATCATTTTGCATAATGTATATGTCGTATTCTTAACTTAAGTCTATAAATTGTATATTGTACACAAGTGATTAACTTCTTTGCTAATGATAAATTAATAGTTTATATCAATGTTTATATAACGTCGAATAATATGTCAAGATCAGAAGGTGATTCTTTACGGAAAAATAAGAAAAAAATATATAATAAAATTTCCTTGTCCGATACTCACTTTTTTCTATATTTCTTTCTTATTTTTTCATATTGCATAAAGAATCACTTCCTGCCCGCATCATTTGTCGCACTTGGTATACGTAGATATGTATTTATCGTTTAAGCAATTAGCAAACTCTTTCAAAATGTTCATGTATTAAAATAATAAATTTTGTAATATTAAATTTTAAAAATAATAAATACAATATTGAATTTAATAATAAATATCTGATTCTTAGAGAGATTATCCCTTATATACATATACATCTTGCGTACTTAAAATTATATTAATGACAAACAAAATTCTGTTATTCTGCGCATGTTTATGCAAATATGTATGCATGCAATGAACTCCATGTACATATATGTACATAATACAATGTATGTGCACAATGATGCATTGTATTACGTGATACAATTTGTCAATACAATTTAACAAATGCAAAATCATATAGTGCATTTATATATGGTATACACACGCGCGCGCGCACGCATACACACACATGTAATGATTTTATATATACATATATATAATCATTATCATATTTGATATGCAGCACGACACAACATGATTATACTTAAGAGAAACCGATGATGTATCTAATGTAGGAAGAAGATTCCACAAAAAATAATACAAAAAATAATGACTAGAATATACTGAAGGTATACGTCATTTTCTTGTAATGAGTATTCATTACATAAATGAGTATTATAGACTTATTATAAATAATTTATTTAAAATAAGTCTACAAAACAAACATTATTATTTTTGCATATCTTTTAACTTAAATTTATTAGTTTTCATTGCTTTTCTGATTGAATTTATACAATAATAAAAATTATACACACTAAAATTCATAATTAAAATAAATATAATGCATTAGAAAAAACTTAGTATGCTGTGTGTATATATACTATATACTATGGATGAATATAGATGTATACTATGGTTATCGCACGATACTTTACGAATCTATCTACAGTACGCACTGTTTATACAACGAAAAGAGTAAAGTCCAAGTATGTAATTGTGTTGAGCAGCTACGATAAGAATACACTACATTCGAAAGTATTTTACATTAATTTATTCTTGCCTTATGTCATAAATTTTTTGCTTTGTACAATAGAATTAGAAAACATTACGTTTCTATTTCTTTGATATAGTATATTGTAAAAATTACAAGAATAATTTGCAATAAAAGTATATTCTTTACTATAGTAATAATTATATATAATGATTATTACGTAATTATATTAGTATACCTATTATATATAATATATTATAATCATAATTAAAACAATCGATTAACTGTGATTAAAAATAAAATGCATTCATTATATCATTTTAATACCTATATACAATGTAGTAAATCCTTTTTACAAAACCATTGTTTCGATGTCAATTATATGCATATGCATCTATATTATATATAGCTCAAACATATCGAATTTATCAACAAGTTTTTAAGTAATATAGAAAGATTAATTCTACATATTTAAAAAGAATATATTTAAGTTAAGAATTTTTTCAAAATATAAAGGAATACATGAGTAAATACGTTATGATTTTTAGGATATTATTTTATCAACGATAATTCTATAATATGCAGTCAAAAATCTCGAAAACTAAGAAAAAAATTATCAAAACTTCTTAAAAATTTGATCATGTACAATATACAATTTACAATGTATGTATTTATAATGCAAAGATGAAGAAAAGTGTCTCGCTCATCGATATATTAGATTGTTTGGCCTTGTTTGTTATGTAAAACTTTCAGCCAACAGATATGTATTTAAGAATGTCCTTAGATCTATTGAAAACTATGTTTTTAGTGATCTTCATTGACTGTCAACTGATGAGACAATAGCGATATCAATCTGAACATTTATAAGTTATCTCATTTAGAATCAATATGATTAAATTTCATTTTAATCTCCATGTATTAGGTGATAAAAAAGTAGGAATTGGGATTTTGTGGACTTATGTATATATTTTCTTGGCTGCTAACGATGTTATGGCAAAAATGCGAGTTTACGCAGGACATTTTACAGATATTGAATCTGATTATGTACCATACTATCAAAGAATCATCGATAAAAACTATTACAATGAAGGACCACTTTCAAGCAATAAAAAGAATTTATTCATATAAATTATTCAAACTAAAATACTATTTCTATCGATATTCTTTTTTTAATATATGAATATACTCACTGGTAGTTTCTGCTTAAATTAACTATACTCGTTCCGTTTTCCATTTCTCATCATCGTACAATTCTTTTTATCACTGTGGATGGATTTATCTTGATATCAATGTAATATTCGGATTTTCTAAAACAAAAAGTAGGTTTTTAAATCAAACAGATAATATGCATAAAATCTTATAAAAATTGTAACGCAATATAATAATGCACGACTTCATAGTCCAATATAAAAAAAAAAATAATTTGTATTACGAATTACCAAATTTATCAACAATATCATACTACAAACTGAAAAAAAAAAACAAAAATGATATATATTTTCTTACGTTACACTTTGGAATTGTTTTTTAAACAGTTAATAAAGAATTAGTGTTTCCGTAATTCTAAAGAAATTTTGAATTTTAAGTATGAAAGTTTCATGAAATCATCTAGTTTGTTAAGAAAAATAAAAAGCATTATTTCGTCATAAATGAAAATAACTAAAAAACTCAGGAATTCATATGCTAATATAAGTTACTAAAATGAACTTTGATCTGGCGAGAAGATAACGACATTCTGTCTTATGCTTGATTGTTTTCCTTAAATTGAATATGATAATATTCACAATCAGAAACATTCAAATTAATAATTTTCTAAAATCGAATATAATATAATCTAAATTTACATTAAATAAAGTATTAATGAAGTATGTATTAACTTAATAATTAAAATTATATATCACTTTGTAATCATGAAAATTCGAGGTTATGTTTAATAAAACAGTCACTGCTTTATTGTTTCGACACTTCAATATTAATTTCTCCACATATTTCTATAAACAATACATACTCGGGATAGTAAAAACAACCGTACATAGAGGCAAAATTACTAAGGTTACATTGAGTACAGAAAAACACAATAGCAATTTTATGTGTAAAATACCGATAAACACTGCAACATTCCGTACCAGTCGATACTGAACTGTTGTACCTTCCGATCGTAATGGTTGTCCATTGGGCAATAATCTCCATATTATATATCTCCATGTTAGATCAACATATCTCCGATCAACAAATTTATCATTAATAACATTATGAAATAAACGTCGATAATTGTCTATCTCTTTCTAAATTTGTACCATTCACTAATTACGTGTATCCTACATATACTTATATACAAAATTCATTTCATTCTTGAATATCATTGAAAGTGCAATATGGCCGGCTACACATTTAGCTATTCAAAATCTAATACTATTATATGGGCTGAGATCTTCATTTATACTACGTCATACAAACATTCTTGTACATTACAAAATTGAAAGAGATAATTCAAGGATAAAAGGAAACAATCATAAATGTTTATTCTTATTTTACTTCATAGAATCACAAATACAAAAAGTTGAAAAAATGTTGCAGCCATTAGCAAATTTGCTCTACCAGCATAGGTAAACACAAATTTCCCAAGTCACACCACGAGGAGGTTACTGCAAATGGTGACTCACCCTATCCCATCGAGCCCGTCCACCCTCCTTTTCGCAAAACTCTACACCTGCGGAAGGCATCCTCGCAGTATATCAATCTATTTCAATTGAAATAGATGCACAAAAAATGACCTGCCCGAAAAAGAGTTAGGAGCGCTACTCTACCCCTATCTCTTTTAAACTAACTTATATAGTAAACCCTATCTAAATCTAAAAGTCGAAGCTAATCCCTATTTTCCCTAGCTAAGAAACTAAAATTAATACCCATGTGCAATTGTACAATTAATATGTTATTCAATGGCGCACTTCTTAATGAAAGAAGCAGACCATGTGGACGGTAAACGATGCGAAACTACATCAAAACTCCACATTATTGGAGTAGTGCTAATTTAATTACATTGCCCTTCTCGCCCGATTCGTCGTCACA